ACCTAAAAACCCAGTGGAAACAAAACATTTGGAAACTTTTAGCAAGCAAAGCTCTCTTAGTTAATTTATTGGGCATACTGTAATTATTAGGTTTTAACATTAACAAATCTCTCTCAGTATCCCAAGTTAAAATCCCAAACATTACTACTTTTTTGGCACTTCATCTCCAGGGAATCTTTACTTATTTTGCCCTTTTAATTTGGACAAAATACATTTAAATTCCCTAAAGGGGCATATTTGTATTTTTGCTTTTTTTATTAGCCTTCCATAATCATAACATTCCCTCTTCATTGAACGTCACACCCGGGAAATGCCCACAAAAAATTTGTTTGCTCATTACTTTACTCAAGGACTTTCCATATGTTTAAGGGTGCATTTATCATCGCTTGAAGTGGGAACGGACTGGAGTGCCCCAAAAATATGCTCCTAAAGCAAAAGGGTTTCAGAGGGCTAATGGGCCATTGGATTCTCAGGCCAAAGAAGGGGGACAACCCCCGTCAGCCTCTTGTAAACCCACTCTTAAAAGCTTTACTTATTCAGCCGTAAAGGCACGTGTTTTCACCCTGAAATTAAAAAGATTTTCCCCTAATTTTTTTTCCGTCAACTACACCTGCATCAAACAGCCCTTTTAAACTAGTACGTTTTTTTTACCCGGCACTACAATTAAACACAATCCTAAAAGAGGGGTCTTAAAACCCTTTCTTCACTCCGTTGTGGCAAAAAGTGACCAAAATTTTTTGCTGCTCAGGAGGACCTCTTCTATAATTTTTTTAAATAAACCTCACAATATATCTTTAGGCAGTTAAAAATTTCTGGTGTCTTACTCTTTTAGCGGAGCTGAAATTTTAACTGCCCAATGCCATTCGAATTATGGGAATTTCTGGATGTTAAGTCCCCAGGGAAAGTCGTACCCATTTTGTCCAGATTCAAATTTACATTTTTCGGTACTGCTCCTAGTAAAAGAATCGTCTGGTTTTTCTTCTTTAAAATTATTCCAATGCGCAATTTTCCACAATTTTTGCACGGCTCAACCCCTCCTCTATGGAAAAAAATTAAACTGGGGTACAACTTCATGATAAGACACACTTTTATGGTATTTGTATTTCCCTACATGAATTATTATTACGGGGAATCCTACAATACATTACATGACCTCCTGCATTTTCAAAAGGGTGACACCACATTTCTTTACCAACCCTTTGCAAAGGGGGCATAATAACACTACATATCAAAATTTTTATTGGGCCTACAGAATAAATCACTTACACTAAAGGGTTTTCAAATTTTCATTATGTGAAAGTCTTTCTGTAGTTTTACTAACCCTACGTAGATTTTTCTCTGGAAGCCTATCAAAATTACTGCATTAACACTTTTTTTTTCTATTCCCCACCTGACAGTTAAAAAAAACAGGGGTCATACAATTGACCCCCTTTTATCCAAGAAAAACCAGAAATTTTAAAGTTGTGGACTCCCATCTGTACTTTCATACCATCAAACATTTAAGTTTTATGAAAGTACCGGGGACCCCCGGGTCCAATAATGCATTTACAATTTTTTTTATACTTTTACATCAATTTTACCTTAACACGGGTAAGGCTACTTCAGCAAAACCATCATTATTAACTTTAGCAGCAATTTTACTTAGCCACTGTTGGTCAGGATTGCCCAACATTATCTTTATTATAAAGATTATCATATAGACTTTTACCATGCTATATGTGTCTTCCTTTGGACATTGAAAACAAATTTTTTTTTGGGCATAACAATCCTTTACATTTGTTACCTAAACATCTGATAATCTGTCAAGTTCCTCCAATCTTTCAACTTTACTTCCAGAATTGTATCATTGCAATTCTTAGAAAATGAGCCCCCTTGCAGAAAAGACAACTCCCCTAGGTTCTTTTTAACGGGCAAAACCTTAGGAGGGTACTTTTTCTTCTTACCACGGGAGAATCATATTTCTGATTCTTGCTACTTGATATGCACCTATGCAACTCTTTTTTGGAAATGAAATTTTTATTATTACTATTGGGATAATTTCTCCCTTTGTGAAAATTTACAGATACCTCAAGTTATTATATGTTTCACTTAAAATAGTTAGTTGGGTGGGCTGCAACGCACAAATTTAATTTTTGTAGACCTAGTCTTATTTCATCCACCAAAATAACCTTTGTTATATTTAAATTTAAGATCCCTTCAAGTGTTTTAAGCTTAATTTTTTCTGTACCAGGCACTCAAAAACCATCGATTCCTTTAATTAATTTAATTTCTTAAAGTTTTGAGAGTGCCTCCCGTTAACCAAACGCTGAAAAATTTTGTAATGTATCTGGGGATTAAATTTGCAAAAATATTCACTAACCAACCACTTTTTTCTAATTACCACAGGGCTTTCAACAATCAACCGCTTCCTTTTTAAGGGGCATCTCATTTGGAAAAGGGTTGTATCATATTTAAACAAACTCCTCTTTCCTTCCTTTGAGGTAAAAAAATTTAGTTACACAGGCAGGCACCCGTCATGCACACTGCTTAAAAATGACCAAAATCCTCCCAATTTTCTCCAGGGTTAAACCAAGGGGAAACTAATTCTGGGATTTTGGCAAAGACAATTATTTTTTTGGAGCAGACTGATTAAATGCCGGTTACACATTTTAATTTATTCAAAGGCCTGACTTTTACAAAAGAACTTTTCCTCTAAAACATAATACTGATCTCTTTAGTCTCATCTACACATTTTTCTAAAAACTCCTTTAATTTGTTGTAATAAATTTTAGAAACATATCATTTCCAAAACATCTAAATACAATTTTTAAAACATCAGTATTTACAGTTTTCTTGATTTATTAATTTCCCAAACCTTAAATTTATCCTTTGGGTTTCAAAACTTTCTTTGCCTTTTGATGCTTTCTTTTCTCTATATTCCATAGTTTTTTCTTTATTTAAATTTTTTCATTTTCAGCCATGATTAATTTATTAAATTCACCCAAAATAACACTATTTCAACTCACAAAAACTGACACAAAACCCACCTTTGAAAAAATCCCCCTACTTGAGCTCGCAATTACATGTAAAAAATTGAATATAAATTTTTAAAGTACATTTAATACAAACTTGCTCATCAAAAATTTAAAATTATACAAAATTTAAAAAATCCTTGCCAGAATTTTGGCATAGCAAAATTTAAAATTATACACATATAAAATTTAAAACCCCCCCCCCTTTTCAAAAAATTACCATCACTATATAAATCTTGGCCAGAAATTTTCTTTTCAAAATTTGTATTATACAAATTATATAACCCCAGCCAACTTTAGCTTAGCTTTCAAAATTTAAATTGTAATTATTAAACCACTACCATTAAGTAAAATTTTTTGAAATTAACACCCCTTTTCTGTTATTTCACATATAAAAATTAAGAATAAACTAATTTTGACTTCACTAAATTTCCTCCGGGTTTAAGAAGGACCCAAAGGCAAATTAAATGTGGGAAAAATTTCATTTACTTGGGTGTAAATTTTAAAAACACAACAGTAAATAACAATATAACTATTATTTATCAGAGTTACATAACAATAGGAATTTGGGGCACCTAGGCGCAAAAATGTCCCCCTTTATCCCCCCCACTGTCATATCCACAAGTGCTCTGGACCTATTAATTAAATGAAATAACATTCACCAGGGGAAAAAGGTAAATATAAAATTGTGGGCTGTAATTAAAAAAATAAATGGTTTATATATACACAATTTTCATAACAGAAGGAAAAATATCTTAATATCACTCACCAATTTGATTGGGTATTTAAATTTTTTATCATACTCAGAAAAAACCCCACTAACTAATTTATGAAAACCTGGCCAAATTATAACAAAATCTAGAAGCTTATCTGAGGTTTCCCGGAGCTTCTTGTCTAGTCGTCTGATATCTCAATTTTGCGGAAGCATGTCCAACAATTTCGCCTCCTATTTGAGAGGGGCACCTAATTTTAACCTCTAACACGAAAATTCCTTCCCCTTGAACTAACGTTTTTATCCAATTCAAAAAAAAATGGGGAGTTCCTCTGTGCAGACGCAGGGTTTTCCGTTTTCTATGACATAAATATGTTAAATACAGTATGGCCTTTTTATTTACATAAAATACTGAATTTTTGGAAAATATTGCAGTTTTTCCACAGTATAGTTATTCATTTTTTTTAAATTTTTTTAAATACACCCACAATTTTTCATTAATGTTTTTAACCCGAATTCCTGGTGATGTACATTTTATTTTTAAAATTTAAAATAGGTCCAGATGAAATTTTGGAGAGATAGATTAGGTGGGTATCGAAGGGGGGCATTTTTTTTCGACCTTCCTAAAATTCCTAAATTGTCTCTGTAACCTTAAAAGAAAATTTTCTTTGTTACCATTACTGGTATTATCAATGAATTCACAGGTAAATTTTAATTTCCACAATTATTATTATGAATCGCTATACGTGCGTGAGTCTTTCAGCGCATGGAGTAGTGGAGGCTTGATACTCTGTCCAATAATCACAAGTATGTAAACCAAGATACAACTTACCACTCATTAAAGCCTGAATAATAAAATATTTATTTTCTGAAGAAAGAATCCTTTGTAGTCATTCTTCTGCAGCTTAGTTTTGATTTAAAGATGCTACAGCATGACACATCTTCGAAAATGCATATTATGATCATCAGTGTAAGATTTACTATCCTGTGACTCATATCAATATATACACCGAGAGGTATATCTCTCAGTGTATATACATTAAGGGTTTGCTATAATTGCTCCTTGAGGGATTAAAGTAATTTTGACAGTGATGAACATGTGATATGCAGGCTGAATGACCCAGTTAAACATGCCCGAATTATATATACGTGTTTAGTACTTTAGGGAGAATATAACAATGAAGTGGTTTATTATTATAGAATGTACCAAGCTATCACTGAAATTTAATATGTCTCCAGTATATATTTTCGATTTCTGAAAGCTACTCCTTTTCCAGGTGATAGGAGAACGTCGCGTCGTCCTAGGTTCTGACTACCCATTTCCTCTGGGAGAGCAGCACCCAGGGAAGCTCGTTGAAAGCTCAGATCTTCCCGATTCTCTAAAGAAACAAATTCTGTTTGACAATGCCCTCGAATTCCTTAATCTAGAGGCATCACAATTTTCATAGTGGTAACTTAGCGGCACACTGAATGGTACTGCAGGTTTAATAAACTAGACTCGAAATGGTGAGAGCTTTCACTAGGTTTAATTAATTTTTCTTGTAATCTCAGTAATAATCATAAATCATACATATTACAGTTTTGTATTCAACTCTGATATTTTATATTATTCTGGTATGTCTATGCGCTTCTAGGAAGACAACTAGTGAATGTGTGATGGTGAATCTTTCCTTCATGGAGTCACCCCTAACTCTGTGGGAAGCGGCCGTTCTGGCAGACAAAAAAGTATGAGCCAACAGTTCCTAAATGTATAATAAAGCAGTGCTTCATGAAATACGTAAATTCAGAGTGGAGAAGAGCCAAGTGTAATCAGGTGGATAAATACGATACTTTTATATAATATCCTGCTCTGAGCACTGTGCCTCGAGTTTTTTCTTGGGTTATCCTGAGTAATTCTCGACCAGAGCTGAGAGGAAACTTACTTGCAGTCACTTCGAGCCCCATCCCATCAAGAGGGTAAGGCGGTGACTTGCTTGCTTGTTCACCCCTCTCTTCCCCATCCCTCAACCTTCCCCATCCTCCCCTCACCCAAACATCTACACTGGCCCACACACTAACACGCTGCTTACACTGCTATCCTTCTGCCTTTCCTGTCTTCTTTTTCGGCAACTTCGCCTTCGGCGAGTAAACACAAGGCATTTTGACCATCCGGTAGCCCGTGTGGTTTTTTAAAATCCGGCCGATCTTTGCCTTGGGCCCTGTGTCCCCCTCACCACTCGAGGGTAGGCTATCTTAGGGGCTGACCTTCATAAGTCAGCTGACTTAGGATGTTCAGGGCTACCACCAAGGAAAGCCTTTCTTGTTAAAGCAACTTCTGTGTCAGATGTACCTTCCTGGACATCATGGCACGAATACGAGTACGAATACGTGTCGTTGACAATCAAAAGTCTAATAAAGAAATTCTCGAATGTATTTGTTCATATTCAACTGTTGCTCCAGTGGATGTTTTTCAAACCCACTCTGGGGCAGTACTTCTCCTCTCCTCTGAAGAAGAGTTACTCCAACCGCTTAAGCATGAAGTTCTTGAGAAATTGAAGACTTTGGGTATCGTCCCCATTGCACCTGATGGCTATCAAGCCCAACGAACTGTCTTTGTGGCGAGAATTAACAGCTTCATGGGAGACAGCTCTGTGGAGGAACTTATTGCACAATTTAATCAGGAAAATTCTGAATTTAAGGTTCTCCATGCGTATAAATTTTCTAAACATGCCAGCAACCAGGTAACATTAAAATTAATCCTGGAGACACCTGATGCAGCCAAACTCGTATGTCAAAATGGTTTCAAATGTTTTGGCACCAGATGTACACCTGACCAAATCTCTCTTGAACGGTTTGTTAGTGTTACACAGCGTTTCAAATGTTATGCATTTGGCCATACCACCAATAAATGCAGTAGCCAACCAACAATTTGCAGCATATGCTCTGGTGAGCATTCTTTTCTAGACTGCCATGCCAAAACTAATCCCAAGTGTGTCCTTTGCAATGGAAAACACCATGCTGTTTCCCCTATCTGTCCTGAGAGGAAAAAGGCAACCCAGAAAATTCTAGACGCCAAGAAACTATCAAATTCTTCGAAGACCGCTCCCCAGGTACCTCCAATAATGTCCGAGGATTCTTTCCCGGCTCTGCCTGGATCTAGTAGAACTCCTCGGGCTTCATCTACCGGCTCCAATGTTTGGACTTCTGCCCCTCCTGGAGTGCCCCACTCTCCCCCTAACCCTCACCTACAACACACAGCCACAAGGTTCTTTCTCACTCCCCATGTCTCAGGAGTTCTCAGACGGGGATATGACGAGAGCTCAACTAATGTACATATTGGCCAAGGATATAGCAGGTGGTGATATTCAACTCTGTTCTAATGTTTTCAGTGATTTGTTAAGGGCTAATGGGATCCGTCTGCAGCGCTGTATAGCCCTTGTGGCTTAGCGCTTCTTTTTGATTATAATAATAATAATGGGATCCGTCCCATTAAAATCCCAGACAATGTTAAGTTTATTATGGCTCTGCCCCCTCAAGATAGGATGTATGTGCCCTACTGATACAGCTAGCAAGATAAACGACTTCTTCTCAAACATAGGATCTAATCTCGCCAGTAAAATCCCACATACCAATGCCCGTGCCGGGGACTACCTAGATGGGAATTTCCCAAATTCCTTCTATCTTGTACCAACTGAGCCCACAGAAGTCACCGCGATCATAAAGCCACTTAAAAATAACTCTGGGAATCTGTCTCACGTCCCACCATTATTATACAAGCGAGCGGCCCATGTCCTTTCGCATGCTATTACATTACTTTTTAACAAGTCACTAGAAACCTTCACTTTCCCGACACTACTCAAGACAGCAAGGGTTACACCAATACATAAAGGTGGTGACCCTACAGACGTAAACAACTATAAGCCAATATCAAACTCACCATTGCTATCCAAAATCTTCGAGAAACTCGTGCACAGGAGACTATATTCATTTATAACGTCACAAAACATACTCAACCCCTGCCAATTTGGATTCAGGAAAAATAAAAGCACTAATGATGCAATTATAAAAAATGCTAGACCTGCTTTACAAAGCATTGGAAAATAAGGAATATCCGCTAGGAATTTTTGACCTAAGAAAAGCGTTTGACACAGTAGACCACGGCATCCTACACCACAAACTTGACCACTATGGTATAAGAGGCCATGCGCTTGCATATTTTAAATCCTACCTTACTAATAGGTATCAGTATGTCACCATTAAAGACACAGCCTCATCAATACGGGCACTTGATACTGGAGTTCCGCAGGGAAGTGTCCTTGGACCCCTGCCTCTCCTCATTTACATCAATGATCTTCCAAACATATCCCAACACCTGAAACCCATTCTCTTTGCTGACGACACGACTTATGTCATCTCCCACCCTAATCTTGCCACCCTCAACACCATTGTTAACGAGGAGCTGCTCAAAATATCGACTTGGATGACAGCCAATAAACTTACACTTAACACTGGCAAAACCTACTGTATTATGTTTGGTAGCAGAGCAGGTGTTGCGCAACTTAACATTAAGATCGACAACACTCTAATTACCAGACATAATGAGGGCAAATTCCTTGGCCTATACCTCGACAACAACCTAAATTTCAGCACCCATATCCAACACATAACAAAAAAGTATCCAAAACGGTGGGGATCCTCTCCAAGATACGATACTACTTACCGCAAACTGCCCTTCTCACACTATACCATTCACTTATATATCCATACCTCACATATGCTATCTGTGCTTGGGGTTCAACTGCAGCAACACACCTAAAGCCAATAATAACCCAACAAAAAGCCACAGTAAGAATAATCACTAAATCCCATCCCTGGCAACACACCCCCACACTCTTCATAGATCTAAACTTACTCCCTGTTCAGAACATCAACACTTACTACTGTGCAATCTATATCTACAGGACCTTAAATTCCTATATTAACCTTGACCTAAAACGCTTTCTTGATAGTTGTGACAGGATCCACAGGCATAACATCAGACACAAACATCTCTATGACATTCCTCGTGTTCGACTAAACCTTTACTAAAATTCAATGTATTTCAAAGGACCTAAAATCTGGAACACCCTACCTGAAAACTCTAGAACTGCAGACACATTCATCACTTTCAAAACTACAGTTAGAAAATATCTTATCTCCCTGATCCACCCCGACAACTAACTACATGATAACCACCTGGTGGTTCGAAATTACACTCAGTCACCCACTGACTATAAACCCAGAAATACTAAACTTAATCTTAAAATAATAAATCATAACTAGTCATAAGTTTGCTTATGATACTCAAATATAGACACCTTGTATTGTGCCAAAACAAAAGCATTCACATTGCTAAACTCACAAATTATGATGTAGTCACTTAGCCTTAATACTATAATCTGTAAGGATTTAATGTTAAGAATTAATCTAAGTCTGCTAGAAATGCCTAGCCATGCTAGGTGTCCTAGTGGCCCCCTCTGTAATTAGTATTTTATAACATGTAAACCACAAAATACCCAAAACCTGTAAACCCCACATTGTAACCATTATAGAGAATAAACTTGAATTGAATTGAATTGAATTCTCTACCCCCACAAATACGCCTACTTCATCTCTTATACAGGGCTCAACCGCCTCGCATAACCCGGTTGTCTGCTCCCCTCAGCCCGATGAGTCACTTCCTGCCCCTAACCTTGCCCCAGATAATGGTGCTCATTCTTCTGCTATTGCAGCTGATCCTGTGGAACAAGAACTTTCCCAGGGTACATCGCCTGGCCTACCAATTTTTCCCTTGGAGCCCCCATGGTCTCCTCTTGACACTCATGTGCCTCTGCTTCCTGTAACTGGGAATATCACACCTCAGTTATCCGATGATGACTCTAATGCTTCTGTTGATATTACCAGCACCAGTGAGGATGGTGACATGGTCATTACACAAGCAGCTACTCAGAATTACCCTCTTCCCCTTGATGAGTCAAGTAGGGAGAGTGTGTATTCCAATTATGATGTTACTTGCAGACGTCAATCCTCTGTCCGCAGTAAACGCGCGAAGTGCAAGAAATAGTGGGGATTACAATTTTCAGATTTAATGTTCAACATGTCTTTAATAACCGTTACCTCGTCGAAGTTGAACTACACAATTACAACCCTGACGTTATCCTCCTGAATGAGACAGCTGAGGGAGTTGATCAACTTACGTGGTTACTCTACTGTGAAGAAATCGAGAGGACCCCATAGTGGCGTAGCCGTCTTAGTTAAATTAGGATATGCGTTTCGAAAATATTCACGTTGACGAAGATAACATTATTGCAATTGAACTGACGACATCTTATGGTCAACTATTGACAGGAACTGGATATTTTCCTCCAAGACAATAATATATAGAGTCCATTTCCCTAAATCGGATATTAAGCAGAAATATTCCTACAATTTTGGCATGAGATTTTAACGCTCATCACCCTGCCCTCCTTAACTGCGGAGTTGGTAATCCGTTGGGCGGTTTGAAAGGAAAACAATTATTTAATATCATGACAGCCAGGAATCTGTCGTTTCAAGGACCATTCTTTAAGACGTATGTCGGTCCTCGTCTGGGGACACCAGATACAATCTTGGCCAACAGAGACTGACCTCTTCCATTGCAGAGTTTCTCCTGGTGGGAACGTAGGATCTGACCATATCCCTGTTATAATATAGCTACAAGCTTAGCCATTCAGAATACCTGTACCTCCTAAACCCAATCTCAACAGCCTAGGATTTGACCCCTTCAGGGCATTTCCTGGTGACGACGAAATTGTTTCGCTGAAATGTTTACCTTCCACTGCAATTGACGAAGCGATCAGCTCCTTTACAGCCGAATACTTGATGCTACTAATGTAACTTGCCAATTAGCTTCCACAAAGATCTACCAACAATATAAACCTACTAGGGAAATTAGAGACTGTATGAAAAGTTATCAAACCGAATGTCGAAGACATCATCAAACGTAACAACCACCAGAGGCTACAATGCATAGGCTGAGGCAGGACTAATTACTATGATTAGTCATCACAAACGAGACTCTTATGGAAATTCTAGTTCTCCAAGCTAACCAGCTAACCAGCCTGCAAAATTTTGGAGCAAGATCCGGGAGCTTTTAGGGGCAAAGCACAAGGCTCCCAGTTACCTAATTCATACCTTCACTGATGATGATGATGAGGAGGTTGAGATAAAACTTGATGATCCACAGGACCAGGCTAATCTGATAGGTTTATGGTGGGGGAAAATTCTCTCCCAATAAA